GGCAAAAAGAGAATTAATTCTTTACTACATTTACATGACAATCATATTTGTAGACAGGAAATTCATCAGCGCGATTTGCATTTGAATTAACTAACACCTGTTACTTTTGACAACTATTTCTCTACGGTTAACAATCTTTAACATTAGAGCTTTACCTCTTTTCATGTTGTCACCATTTATCATAATTAGCATTCTCACGTAACACGAGTGCAAAGTTGAAACATGAGTACAAATTACAAATAACGCGCGTACGCTTTCAAATTTTCGTCTGTCTTGACTCTCTGTGACTTTCTTTCACGTAACTTATTGACGAGTAATAACATCGTGCTCACTTACACCAAATTGCCTTCGAATTCATGTTGTTACCTCTACGAATCCTGCACTACGCATAAAAATCGCGTGATTAGGCGAATAAGCGCACGCATCCCCAGAACACAGTTTAGTTTTCAATCAATGGACCAGGTAAAGAGGTACAGTGATCTTTAGCTCTTGAACGAGCACAGTGACCTATACTTTTACTGCATAATTTTGGTGTTCAAATTACCCCTTTTAGATTGGAGGGAAAAAAAAGCATTGAAGGGGAAAAATAGATATAGCTAAAAACTTTCCCGTATCTTAACCCAACTCCCGCAGTTAAAAAACGCACAAATTTGTCCACACTCAGTTTTTAATTCATATCTCAACAAATATTTACAGGAATAACACCTACAATATGTCATTTTAAAGTGTATAGAATGGGCTTCTTAGGAAAAAAAATTCATCATTGAAACCCAGGACTTTCCTAAAAAGTAAAATTTAAAACACAAAATAAGTAAGACATAGTGTAAAACTTGAGGTAAAAGTCACTTTTCCTCATAGGTATAGGTTAATCAAGATTAATTGATAGCAGAAGTTAATTATTAACATGTCAGCAACATTTCCTGAAAATATGAAAGAAAAAGAATAAATAATGAATTTTTTATGAATTTTTATGTGCACCCATGTCATTCCAAAAAAATTAGCAAAAATTTGTCCACATTCAGTTTTTAATTCATATCTCAACAAACATTTACAGGAATAACACCTACAATATGTCATTTTAAAGTGTATAAAATGGGCTTCTCAGGAAAAAAAGTTCATCATTTAATAAGCAACGACGAAAGGACGTGCGTGATTAGTGCGTGATTAGTGCCAATACAGACATAAATGGAGCACGTTTGGCCCATCAAATGTCTTAAACAAGCATTTTTTAGACTTCGTTTTTGAAACAGACATTGGTCGGGAACAGTAAAAGAAAGTTTAAAAAAATAGCTCGATAACTTTTTTGAGTGAGGAATAACCTTAAAAGAAATTATGCGCACCCGTTGAGTTGATTTGGTATTATCCAAACACCAAACCTCACAAATTCGGATTTTACCTTTAAAGCTCTGAACCCATCCATTATGTTTTCTTGTGCAGCCAAAGTACTATGCCGTTCAAGAGGATTTTGCTAGTTTTGGCGATGGAAATCGTAATTTTAACCTTCTCGAATAAAAACTGTTGGCTATAATAAGTCCCAGAACGGAAACAAAATTTTATCTACGAAACGTAAGGATAATCTGGAGCAATAATTTCTGCTAAGGATCAGCAGTCATTACTTTAGCTGATGCAGATGATAGCCTTTTCCTGCCATTCTCGATGATGTAAGAGGCAAATAGCTACCCACCTACCCTACCCCCGCATAAAACACATAAAAAGTCGTAAAACATAAGTCACGTGAAAGAGTAACAAAAGTAGAACAATGAAAAGAAACAATGAGGTGTTGAACAAGTTACCACTATATATTTTATTTCCAGTAAGCGGATTTCCACAATAACAACTCAGATTAAAAATAAAACTGAAAGAAGGCATGACATGGCATAATCACTTCTGACATAAATTGTCTTAATTTCTTAATTAATCGAACACTAGGTCACCAGTTTGTTCGGACTGCGTTCATTAAATTCGGAATCGAAATTGGGATACTTTGCTGAATGTCACATCAACTTCTAGCGGGATGGAAAAGAAAACCTTATGCCATAAAAACGCTGAAAAATAACTACAATGTCTCTATTTGAGACTTTTATTTGTATAAGTTTATGGCTGAGATGACATTCTCTTTGTAACATTTGACAGCTAAATAACCTTAAGTTAAAACGTGTTTACAACTGTCCTTATAAATTGACTTTGTCTCAATTTGTTTACAGGTGTAGAGTGACAATGTCCAGTTAAATTAGAAATGAAATTATTCAGTTCTTGCAAAGTAAGCGTTTTATCATTTTTCGAATTTCTCTGTTTCTTATCCCGAAAGTCATTGGATTAATGACGAGATCGAGAAACATCATGTAAACGCCGAACATGTGTACTTCGCGAGACATGGGAACGCCACGTGATACGAGAATACTAAGGGTGACATTTGGGACCCAGCTCAAACAGAAAAGGAACACTATCACCGATACGGTACGGGCGATGTGCATATCCTCTCCTCTGAGCTCGGTTACATGCGGTTCTGTTGTGGCTCCGGAGTGCCCTGGACATGGCACATGTTTTGGGTCCTCGTCTTGGAACCTGTTGTTTGGTACCGCGATTCTTCTTCTATGGCGACGAACAACTTGCGCGATTTTGATGTAGCAGCCAATGATGACAAGGATGCAACAAGAAATCACCGAATAGCTGGTGATACGAAAGGAGATGTAAGCCTTTTCTGAGATCGAGCAAACTGCCTTGGAGGGAATAAACTGATATTTCCCCCATCCTAAAAAGGGTCCGCTGCTCAAAAAAATCGCTAAACACCAGATCAACACAGTCATAAAGATGACAGACTTCTTGAAAAACACATTTCTATACTTGCTAGGTTTGACTATCTTGAAATACCGATTCACGCTGATCGCAGTGAGGTTGAAAAGACTTACGGCAAACAAAGCAACGCCGAGGAAAGCGTAAAAATTACAGAGCTTCTCTCCAAAACTCCATTCTCCTCTGATGATGGTGATGATCAGCATCGGAAGCTGGCACAGTGCCAGCAACAAGTTCGATACGGCAAGGTTTACGAAAATCGCATTGGGAATGGTACGGAGGTTTGTCTTTTTGTACACCGCACAGCAGACGATGATGTTTCCTGAAACTGCGCATATGAAAAGCAGAGCGACCAAAGAGACCTCGATAAAGGTTTGTGTTTGAGTTCGGACGGGTAACAAAAAAGATGATGTTGTCATTATAACAATTTTGCAAAACTTCCTTGAGTCAAAATTTTTTGTGATTCTCGAAGCTTTTAAGGCGCAGGTGTTTTATCTGTGAAAGCATAATGTTTTCGTAGATGCTATTTCTGTAACATAATGAGACCATAGGTAGACTGGGGTTAGATCGAATTATGACATGACTGTCGTTTCTTTATGAGAAGAAATGAAAATTTTCGTGTTTGCCCTCGCAATCGTATTCAAGGCCTAAAAGCAAACTTGGTCACCAACACAAAACCCAGTAATCGTAAAATAAAGCAACTAGAGGAACGTACAACTTCCTGCATTTTTTTGCCACACATCCTGTTGCGACGTTTTCTGCATTTATGTAATAAATAAATAAAGGACTTTGTTTCCTTTTTTATTGTTCAATTTCAGGCGCGCGCTCATTGGTTGAAATTGAATTCAAATGACTTAATTTTTAATGACGTATTATGTTTTATTGCGCGCACGAAAAAAGGTGGATTTGGGATTTTTAGAGTCTAACTGGACTTGTGATGTTCCTTCGGAATCCAAAGGGGTTTTCTAATCGATTTTACGGATTTTGAGGGCTGTCGGGAAAACTGTGAGAACACATCCCGGCATATTCTTTAATTCTGAAACAGAAACACGACAAGAACTTTTCATAACGACCAAAACAACATTTACTATTCTAAAGGACTACATCAATTAGCTTTTGGAAAACACCGGGACCACGATTCCTAGCGTTTTATCTCTTAGCGAAAAACAAACAGAACAAATGACAAAACTAAACGCAAAAAACAGGTATCCAAAAGAAAAAAACACATATACACGCAAAAGCACGCAAACGAAGAAACGAAAGCATAACCAAAATTTAGGCAGTATATGACTGCACGTGGCTACTGATGCAAGACAATGTTTATAGTGTTGGAAAGATCCAGAGGTTGTATAATGACGCCAGAGGGTAGTGTTGTTCACATGCAAAACAGGAAACCTGCTACATCCCACATATTAATAAGTACCTTGTTCCACAAGAGAAACTGAGATGACTCAAGAATGATCAGAAGAGAGTGGATAATTGACACTCCACCAAAAATTAGATGGCCACAAATAATCATACGAACAATGATAATAACAATGATAACAATAGTTAACAATTGGTTCATACGTCAGCTGTGCGTTCATCGAGACATGAAGCACTTGGGAAGTTTGGAGAGCACTCAAGAAGCTAGAGTTGCTCGAGGCTACACCTCGAGCAACTCTTACGCATCTTTCGTGCTCTCCAAACTTCCCGCGTGCTTCATATCTCGATGAACGCACGCTGACGTATGAACCAATTGTTTTACACCATTTTCGACCCGCTGGAAATTTTTTTTTGTCGAGGGATTTGTTTGCTGACGTCATGAGCGTGCACAATAGGAATATGAAGCACGTTCTCGCAATTGAATTTGATTACACAAATTTACTAGCTATGTTATAATAATAGTTGACTGTAAATATATGAAAATCATATCAAAAGTCACACATGTAAACTGCGGACAGCAAGGTGAATATGGAAGCGGTCTTATATCCGCAGAGCGAGTCAAAATACGGCACAACTCGTGAAAATACTTGGCGATACTACACACCAAAACGTCAAATAAGTTATTTATTAAGCAAGTACTGCTGTAGGTTTTATGCTCTTCTTCTAAGGCGGGAGAAGCAAATCAAACAGAGAAGCGGTTTGCGACAGGTCTTGCGTGATGCTCGCGTCGGATTGGCTCATTAGACGTCAACTTGTCACATAATGTTTCAAAACGATTCAAAGTTAAATTTTATTTTCGATCTTTGTTCTCAAATCGTACACATTTGAAAGTGCTGCAAGTACAAATGTGTTCGTTTATCAACGAAAAGCGATGAATAATTTATCGCTAGTAACAAAGCCTTGAATCTACCGGAAGACGAATTCTCAGACATGGACGAGCTCTTAGCATATAAAAAAGAATTTCATTTTCATGATCTGACTCAAACACATGGCGACGACGCTTCGCGGGAATCGCTGTCGGTACTTGGCGAGCTGAGGGCTGTGAACTCAGAACAATGGTACAAATGTTAAATTCGGCACTAGAGAAGGCAAATGTAGCCAACCTCTCAAACAGGTTTTTCGACAATACAAAATAAACTTACGCAATATTGCGGAATATTTTTACTCCATTCGAGTGTTATTTACACTTTATTTAGTGCAGTTGGATAATAATGAACTCTACTTAAGAAGTAGTGAAAATAAGGCCTGAAAAAAATTAAGGCCTCTACGTGATTTGAACCCATGATCTCCGCGATACCGATGCAGCGCTTTACCAACTGAGCTAACAAGCCTACGGGGAAAATTACTTAAGCAGTAGTGCAAAGAAGCAGCCTGTGAGGTTTCGGCAAGGGAAAATTAAGGGACAGTAATAAAACAAGAAACGCCAAATTTCAAGTGAATCAGTTATGTATTTGTGTGGACAATCTTTTAGCTGAAAAATTGGATTGCGCTACTCATAAGATCGCGTGACTCAAGTCTTAAAGTTCGCGTGACCATTGTTTCACGTTACAGTCGTGTGTCTTCAAAACTACAAGTCAAGTTTTTTTCACCAACAATTGGCTTCACTTTTGTCGACTGGCCGCTAATTCTCCTAGGCAACCCATCCATAGGAAACTGTTGATTAGGTGATCTCGCTTCTAAATCTTTAAATTTTTTCTTCCCTATCGCCCTGGTGTAAAATGCTATCAGACTTCGCAGGCGTTCCGGCGGTGGCTTACAAGTGATCAAGGATTTGAATTCATCCCGAATATCCGTGTTGTACGCGCTGTAAATGACTGGGTTTACAGTTCCGTTACAAAGCATAAGGAATGCTGAGATGTTGCTGTAGTACGGGGTGAGCTTGTCATAAAAGCCGAAGTGAAGAGATAACTGTAAAATCCAAAATGGTATGAATGAAACGTAGAAGACAAATACCAACATTACCAACATTTTGAGAGCCTTAGCTCTTTTCACCCTTCCTTTTCGCTGTACCTGGTGGAAGTGAAATCCAGGTGATTTAAGGAGCCAAAGTTTGATACCGATGGCTGAATACAACGCTAGAGTGATCACAAATCCCGCCGCCAACAACACTGTTTGAAATGTAAACCATTGTACGACCTCTTCGTTCTTTATGCCGACGAAACATATTACGTCACCGATGCCGTGTGCTTTGAGATGTGCAAAAGAAAACAGCGGACTGCTATAACACCCGCTTACAAACCACGTGGCGGCAATAATAAAATACGCCCTTTTCTTCGACAGCAGCGCCTTCAAAGGGAAAAATATCCCCAGAAACATCTCCACAGCGATGGCTGAAATCGTCAGATTCGACGTAAGAATTAAAACTGCGGACAAAAACACGTCAAATCGGCAGAGAAACTCTCCGAATTGACCGCGAATATGCCATGCTCCTCCCAAGAGCAGATGAACACAGATCATAGGTGTCATCTCTAAAGCAAAAAGGAGATCGGCCACAGAAAGGTTTATGATAAATAGGAAATGTACTGGTCGTCGTAAGTTCTTTCCGATTCTTCTGATGGCTTTGATTACCACTGTATTACCCACCAGTGAGAGCACTATCATTACATAGAAAGCGATCACGAGACCGATCCGACTTGGTTGAATTTCTGTCCCAGTTCCATCTGCTGAGTAGCTATGATTTAAAGCCTTTTGGGAACTTAAATTCGTCACATTTACAAAGCCGTTGGACATCGTAAATTATCTGTCATTTCTCTCACGGTCTTATAACTCACAAAGTCTCATCACGAGATCATCGGATACAATAAATCACACAATGGTAAAACAATAGAGTGGCGCATTCGGTGAAGTGCATTCTTATTATTTCTTTTGGATTATCATAATCAGGAATTCTCAGGTTACATCAAAATTCTGTATAGATCTGTATGAGAAAATTGCGGATTTCGGGTGTCATATTATAGTTCAGACTGGTATCTTTTCCTTGTGGTCCAAATGCAGAGATAACTTCCACTTCTGTAGCGACATTCCTGTTGTGCACTATAAAATTGTTGCAATAACTCTCTCAGACTTCATTGTTTGAAATCAACCAAAGCACATTCATTAAGGCAAAAAAACAAACAATTGTTTGCTACATTTACATGACAATCATATTTGTAGACAGGAAATTCATCAGCGCGATTTGCATTTGAATTAACCATCACCTGCTACTTTTGACAACAATTTCTCTACAGTTAACATTCTTTAACATTAGTGTTTTACATCTTTTCTTGTTGTCACCATTTATCATAATTAGCATTTTTTGTACTTACTATATAATTGAAATAAAAGAAAAGTATGTCTTAATCGTGTCTTAGAAATTTTGGTTTGTAACCAGGTAAGTAAGTTAGAAAGTGAGAATGAAAGCATCACAGGCTTGAGGGGTTTTGTGTTACTAGCTAACACCTTGGTAACCTACAGGTAAACGTGGATAGATTATTTAAAAAATAATTATTCTCAAAAGTAAATACATGGCAATAAAAGATTTACTATTATTTTATACTTCAAAATAATTCAAAATTGAAAATCGGACATCTTCGCTACTGAATGTGCGGATAAGCTGGTAGATCTGACTGCTCTATTATTAAATGTGGGATCAGATTTCAACTTTCTATAAAATTGCTTAAAACTCCAAATAAAATAATCTGGGAGGTCGAATATACTATAGATTAGACTGACTTGGAATTATTATTATCTTTTTATTCAAGTCTTCAGAATCCTTTGGAATGGTATCTAACTTGTTAGATTCATGTTTGGATATTGAAAATGAATCACGTCTTTGTTATTGGTACTTTCGTCAAGTTGATATTCTACTGTCTCGGTTCTGTGAATTATGCAAACTTCTAAATTAATGATTGTCAATAGGCTAGACTGATTTGGATTAATCCATTTACCGAGCTCTTCAGAATACAGAGGGATGTCATTTAGCTTGATTCATGATTGGATTTCGGAAATAATAATATACGGGCTTGTGCAATTTTGTCGTCTTTGAAAAAATTTTCGCGCTTATTAACACCAAATCGTTGTTACCTATACTGATACACATCTCGATTATTAGTATTTTCAACACACTGATATTCGACTGTGTCAGTCTTGTGCAATTAAGGTGATTCCAGTGTCATTGTCAGTTTGATGGTTAATATCCTGCTTATTGTCCATATTTTGGTCTCTGACGGATGTCCAGCACGTTACACTGGGTCGCCATGTAGGCGTAAGTATTAAATTATAAAATAGTTCTTCTCATATAGGGAAAAATTTTGTTTCATTAAAAAAATGCACCTCCACGTATGGAAAGATGATTTGCTGTCAAGCAGGTATTATAAGTATGCAACGGTGTACTTCTTTTAGTTTCAATTAGACGGCAAAATAATTTTCACACTGTCACTCTTGTACTGGATCACATCTAGCATACAAACACTTTTTTCTGCGACTAACAATAATTGTTAAAATCTGCGTGTTTCAAAACATACGAGTATGAGACAGATGCAAGTTGTAGGTCAAAAGGATCATTGTGCATTGCTGCAAAAAGCGCAATTTTTTCTATTATTGCCGTACCTTGTGGCTCAAGCAAAGGTTATTAGTGGTATGTAGTTCTGTGCAGGATTTGTTCAAAAGTTCTGTTCAGTCGAATCATTTAAGCGCTATGATACAAAAGTGTAAACAGTTTAAAAAGTACGAAGGTTTTCCAGAACCTGGACATCACCATGATTATGTTGATATTTTGCGGTAAGTTTTTTGAGGAAAAATGAAGGTACAGCTTGACCTCTTTTCTCCCTGTAATGGTACAAATCATCAAAAAATTGTAGAAATATCACCGAAATTTTAAAAGTTTCTCTCAAAAGCCCAAAAGGTATCTCTCGCAACCCAAATATTACACGAACTTGAGAGAGTTTTCTTGTCTAAACGCTGGAAAGATCATCACTACGGTCGTTAACTGACACAATTATAATTCAGAAGGTTAATCACAATTATTATAGAATCTTTATGTAAATGTTAATTATGCGAATGAGTGATTTTTTTTTAACTCTTTAACTCTCAAGATCTAGTTGTTAATTCTCCCCTCTGGCTGCTACACATTTCCTTGTAAATTAGCTATAAGAACTTGGTGCTAGATCAAGATAGCAGCTTCTACGCGATAAGTTTGAATATTCTCATTACCTGTTTGCTGAATAATGTATGGGTATAACAGGGAGAAGTTTCATGTTAATCACTTTTGGGAGTTACATGGTTAATCTTCTTTTTTTCTACTCTAACTTTTACTACTTTACATAGAAAGTACATTTAATTTTCTTTCTCTCCCATAACCGTGCATGTTGGTATGGACCTTTCGCATAAAAAACTGCGGTGGCAACGATAACGCAGCAAAACATGAGATTCGGTGAGCAGAGCGAAAGCTCTCGAACGTTCTAAAACTTTGTGTATATCTCAGCCGTTCCACAGCAGTGTGAAGTCACCAAAATTTTAGTTCAGCAAACTCTCCAATACTTGTCGCTATGCCTTATTGTCCGCGTGAATTCTGTGAAGTACTGGGTGACTGGTCTCTCATGGTGACGTCACGTCTTACATTAGGATCCAGGTTCAACCGAACATAGGGATTTCCCAAGAAGCCAGTCAATGGTAAATCATCTAGTCCCAAGACAACCGAGGCTTACAAAAATTCTCACCGGGGCTGAGATTCAAGAGGGCAGCTTAAGTAAAATAATAGTCATGGAAATGCAAAGCATGTTTTTTCTGGGGCATGGGACAAAGCAATAATGCCCTTCAAAAAGAATCGAAGCGATTAAATTGTTGTACGTTTTGGTGAGCCACTTTTATTCCCGAGACATTTCAAGAACGATGTCTGAACGTTATATAAGTTATAATTGGCCATTTCTCATTTGAAATACACCATTACGATGCCCAGTTAAATTTGTACAGGACGCTGATTCCCCGACCGGAATATGTTCACCACCGAATCCTGCCCTTGAGTTTAACACCCGTTGCACCTTTAAATGTTATCTTGGGTACCGTTTGAGAGGTTCCCGTGAACGACGTTGTCAAGCCGACAAAACATGGTCTGGGACTCCACCAACTTGTGAACGTAAGTAATTTGATTATCCAACTGCGCAAAGCAGAGTAAAAATAAACGCACTCACGGCTACTGACTGCGGGGAAAAAAAAATTTATATTCACTAGCAGCCCTCATAATTTTGCTTTGTGAATACACTTTGAATATCGAGAGTTCCTAATGTTGTAATAGCTTTTATGGCTAACGGTTAATTTCTGAGTGTTTTTATTGTATGTATTCATCAATTCTTTCCGGCATTTGCCCCCTTTGTAACTATTTATAACAGCCTGTGGCGCTCAGATTAAGAATTTTTGATTTCATTTAGGTTTTAACCATTCAATGCATCGTACATGCCCCATTCAGCTTTGGTGTGAAATCATATAAAATTCATCATCATTATTTATTTCCTACCGTAAATACACTAACTTTAATGATATATTTCCAGGAATTCTCTGTCCCAAACTCCCGCCAGTCCAGGCCAGTGCCAGATATTTACCGCCCGACTGTGCAACACGGCAACGAGGCACCTTTGAGACTTGTTTTATTTCCCATAGAAGACATACCTTTCGTCGTATCCTTTACTATAACATGTCAAGGAAACGGATCATGGCAGCGAAAAGTCCCAAAATGCCACGGCAAGTTTCCCGTTTATGCTTCCGACTTTTATTTTTCTGTCTTTGTTCAGGGCTTAGTGACCTGAAGAGATGACTTCCCGCCCAGAGCTCCCAGGCTCAGTTTCTCCCACCTAACCACTCACTGAAATTGTTCACGGTTCCAACGCGTTAAATTTCTTGTCTACACTTTGTGAATTGCAAAATGATCTGCCTTTCTCAAGTGCAGATTTTTAAATACTTCACGTTTATTCAGATAGCTTGTTTCAAACTGTTTGTGAGCAGTATTGTTTCAGTGGTGTTCTCGTATTTTCCTCTGTCCTTCCACAATGGCGTCAAAGATAACACTGAAAGGGAGGGGGTAAGGGGATGGGCCTCGTAAGGACGGAGGGGAGGGTAAGGTGAAAGATTTACTTTGAGAAAATATTGCGTCAAATCGTTTTTGTGGCCAGGTAAGTTGCCAAGAGCAAAGACATTTTCTGAATTGTTTTAGGTTGTTTGAATATTTGAAATGCTTTTATGAACTGATAAATTGGCTAACAGGCGGATAATATCTTCAAAATCACTAGAATGTCTGATAAGTCCCGTATTAAGAGAAATTTATGTCTATGTATTACTGGTTTTGCTATTTTTACGTTTCCTCAACACAGATACTCGTCCACCAGTTTTTAATTGTCCGCCCAATCTAAAAGTAAACACTCTGAAAGGAAAGTCAACAGGGAAAGTCGCGTGGAGTGTTCAGGTTTCTGATAATTCAGGTGATGTGGATCCAAATGCAGTGATTAAGATTGAGTCAAATCACAAATCAGGGCAGGAACTTCCTATTGGGGTCACCGCAATTCGCGTGACTGCTATTGATCAGGCCGGGAACGAGGCCATGTGCACTTTCGCGGCTGAAGTCATAGGTAACATACAAAAGTGTATAGGGGGAAACTTTGCCATGCGTTTTAGGCCCTATACCTAATAATGGGTTTCCATTCAAAAAGTTTTTTTTTGGATGCCTTTTTTCACGTCTATTATCCACTCTAAAACACCTAAAAGGTGTGTTTATGAAAACGGAGCCTTTCAAAAGCGACCGAACGAGTAAAGCGTTTAAAACTTATTGTTTGTAAAAGTTTCAACTATTTGTGCGGGCTACGAGGCTACGAGGGCTCGGTAGTTGAAAAGGCGGTTAGCGCTTTTCAGAGATAAGATTTTTAGCAAATTTTTTAAACTTTCTGCTGGTTTTTCGGTTGTGAAACGTTTGTATGGAAAAGCTATTTGTTTGTGGGATTTATAATTAACATTTCGGTAGAGAAAAGAATGATAGAAACCAAATATGGAATTGTCTGAACTGAAAAATTGCTGAGGAAAATAAAAATTTTTCCGTAGGTTAGGACTGGATTATTTCTACTCCTTCCGGGTGGAATGTTTCTCCATTAAACCTCTGGTTAAAGAGAGGAGATACTCCTGAGGAAGAAAGGTTTTCTTGTTGAAGAGCAGGGCTGGGTTGCTCAAAGCTGGGTTAAGATAACCCAGAGTTAGTGTGAAATCTGATTTCAGGTCTGAAAGGTTTCATAGAAAATTCAGTATAATTCTTTTTGTCAACAATTTGATGATTGGATGCTTCATATAGAATGGAGAAAATGATCCCAAAAAGGCTTTCGAACAAAGGAGTAAAGAAACCTAGAATAAAATTTAACCCTGTGTTAGCTCTAATCGGCCTTCGAACAACTGGGCCCAGAACACTATATTCTTGGGCCCGAATCGAATCCAGCTTTCGGACCAGAACTCAGACAGCGTGTCCTTAACCCTTTACTCCCTAACATCAGTATGCATATTCTCTATGCCACTCCTTAGACATTCCTTAGGTTTCTGACAAGGAGAATTTGTTCAACAATCAAAAGCTTCTTTAGTTGGTAATCATCTCCTTTATTCTCATGACTTTAACGTTTGATTCAGGGGAATTATTGCCAGGAGAAATTAGATGCTGGTAACTCTTAGGGGCTCGTCACGAAGTAACGAAAAATCCTTTTCAAACCTGGGAAGATGGTTTGATGTTCCTGCTGGTACTTTCATCCCAACAAGTGGCCTTCTTATCATAACATCAATTCATTGTCGAATCTTTGTTTTCAGGTTAAAGATGAAGACATCATAAGAGTCGGTTTTGAATATGATTTAGATGGATTGTCTTTAGTTTTTCTTGGGGATGAAAACTGAATGATACAATAAACGTAATATTTATGCAAGATTATGTGGTGGTGTTTTAGTTTACGCATGGAGGACTAAGGCGCAATGGTCAGATCCTGATTCCAATGAATCCGGCAACGGAATATCGAGTCACGCATATGCTGTAGGATTTACTCCACGTCATACTCGCCTGCTACTCGAGTACAGGTACCTCTTAATTTTCACTATAAAAACACATTGACGTCATCTTTGAACATGGGAAATTGAGGTCGATTTACCAATTGTTGTAGAAAAGAGAATAAATTTGTGCTTTAAGGGGATTTGTTTACCTAACAGTCGTGAGTTTGTGTCATTTAAACGGTTATTATCGGGGCTATTGTCGTTCAAATTCCTTCCATAGATTCTCTTGATGAAATTGTGTTACAACAGCCCTCCCTTTCCAAAAGACTCTTGGATAAAAGGGGGTATTTTCAACTGAACCGACTTGGCAGAGGAAATGAAGCGTGTTATGACAGGATAAAATTCTATTAATTGCTTACTTTATAAAGCAAGTCAGATGCAGTTACTTTTAAGATCAACTTATGTTATTACATGCAAACTAAAAGTTTTAAATTATCGCCTAGTGGCACTATCGTGCTCAGCGTGGAACCACTATTGTCAAGCGAAATTATTTTTGCAGAGATATAAATAAACATTTAGTGATATTTGCAAACAGGAAATTAAGGTCAAATGACAAGAGGATTGAGAGCGATTCGTTATGCCAGTTTGCATTCTGGGTACACGATTTATGTATCGCTTTCTAGGAATCAAAGTCGATTTGGTGCGCAGATTTGTTTGCTTTAAAGTTTACAGAGATGAAGCTTAGTCAGTTAATTGCGGGCTATGTTTTCCTATTTTTACTCTGGGAATCAGGCACAGCTGCAAGGGAAATTCACATTTCACCGTCTGGGAACGATTCGTCAGACTGCACCAGTATCGAACCATGCAAAACGCTGGATCATGGCCTCTCCATCGCTTTTAAGTCCAACTCGGCACAGTTAATGCTGATTGAAGGAAATTATTCACTAAATGAGCCCTACAGTTTTGTAAATATGAATACGTTTGGTCTTCATGGAACTGGTGACGTGAAAATAACGTGTGGCAATGCAAATGTCAGTCTATCGTTCTTATTAAGCAATAATATCAGTATCGAGCGCGTCACGCTACAGAAATGTGGTGGATGGCATACGAGCACATATACTCTACACAAATATTTTCCCAAACTTCAAGGAGCCCTCTTCAAGACTGCTTTGTATTTTCGATATTGTAGAAATCTTCGAGTCTCTGACGTGGAAATCTCACACTCTCCAGGACTAGGCGCAAATTTGTACGATGTTGGAGGAGTCGTCAACGTTACCAACAGTGTGTTCGCTAACAACTCGGGCTTATATGATCACGCTATTGGCATAAAAAGTGAGTTGGTTTATTCAGGGGGCGGTATTTTCTTAATGCTAAACCCGTACATCAATAATACTTTGAACGTCTCTTCAGAGGAACACGATACTTATCAACACAACAATCAGTATCTGTTTTCAAATTGTCACTTTCTCAGAAACGTAGCGCAGTGGTTCGGCGAAGAAAATCAAGAACTTTATACACCGGCTCGTCCATTTACTTTAGGAGGAGGATTAGCAGTGTTCTTTGAGTCAAATGCCAGCAGCTGCAGCGTAAAAATCCAAGGATGTACATTCAGGAATAATAATGCCTCATGGGGAGGTGGACTTCAAGTCGAATTTACAAATTTCTCAGAAAACAATACATTGTTGATCGAGAGCACTATTTTTAGCGATAATTTCGCAGCTTCCGCTGGTGGAGGTGCTCGTATCGGAAACCAAGCACGTAAATCAGGTGTTCCACTTACCCCGAATCGTTTTTATTTTATTAACTGCTCGTTCATAAGAAACAGTGCTTTTTGGGGTGGCGGTGCATCAATTTTCGGGACCACTATTCTTAGTGCCACTAAGAACACCGTGGGAAGGAATGCTAATATTCAGTTCCACTTCAGTGATTGTCAATGGCAATGCAATAATGGAAGTGTGGGAGCCGCCATGGCAATCTATCTTTACAATAACAATGAAGATCAACTTGGACCGGAGGTTCCATTTCATGTCCAATTTGATAACGGAACGTTGTTTGAATCTAATGGAGTTCATATCCATAATCAGACCATCACCGTCGGACAAGGATCCCTCTACAGTTTGCAAGTACCACTCATCTTTAAAAACTTTACAAAGTTCTCGGGCAACCAAAAGTCTGCATTACTAATAGAAGGATCTTTCATTGACGTTCACGATCAATTGGAGTTTATCAACAACACTGGTTTTAGAGGGGGTGCCATAGCCATGTATGGAAGGTCAAGAATCATTTTCTATCCAAAGGCCAATGTAACCTTTGAAGGAAACACTTGTGATGATAAGGGTGGTGCACTTTATATCCAAACCCCAGGACCTCCGCTGGTAAGCTTCCACCAAACTGGTACCAACATTTTCACTTGTTTCTTTGGATATATGAATGAGGAATCTGACGTGGACTATGAGAAATGGGATATAAATGTCACCTTCAAGGAAAACAAGTGCAGTGTTCGCTATTCTAGCCAATGCAAAGGGAAATCTGTCTACGCCGCAACGCTAAAAACCTGCTATCAAGTGGGCGAAAGTCGCACAAATAACAGCGTGCTAAAATGGAAGTTTATAAAATTTGATACCAAGGTATCATCAGAGGTTTCAACGGATCCTGTAGAATTAAAGTTTAATAAAAGCAACTGGAATGTCGCCCCAGGTGAATGGTTCGATGCAGATGTCAAACTATTAGACGAGCTTAATAATACTGTCCAAGGAATTATTCTTGTTACTATCAGTAATGTTTCCCACGGAAAAGTTACTATTTACAATCAGCCTTCCTGTTCGTTTCTAACAGATTATGAAGGAAAAATCAGACGTATTTACCTAAATGGACACGAAGGAAGTAGGTTCTCACTGCATCTAAACTGTGTCGGAAGTCAGCTTCTGCGGTATGTGATAAACAATGTCACGTTACGAAACTGCTCTGACGGATTCGTGTTTTCGAATACAACGTGTCTATGTAACTGTATTAAACAATCAGGAAAGGGTGACAGAGGTATTTCGAGATGTGCGAACGGGACGACCGTTTTTATTAAGCGAGGATTCTGGGCCGGAAGGGTCGCGGATAAAAACGGCAAATTTAAATTTTCAACCTTTATCTGTCCTGAAGGCTATTGTAATAAAACGTTAGTTTGGAATTCCTATGCAAGTGACTATCAGTACGTGAAAAACAACTCGTGTACGAAAGGAAGAAATCAAAGCAGTGTACTCTGTGGAAAGTGCCGTAACAATTTTAGTGTTGTCATTGGAGGTGAAAAGTGTTCAAATGAATGCTCTAATTTGTACTTGTTTCTCATAATTCCGTATGGTTTGGGCTTCCTCCTTGTCGTTGCCATCATTATGCTCATCGATCTTGATGTTTTCACGGGATATTTCAATGCCTGGCTTTACTCTTACCAAGTCATGAATCTTTTGGTGCCAGATGACTTCCAATTCCACCCTGTTAGCCAATTTTTGATTAATCTCAGCAACATTCGCATCCAGGTCCCAAACCACAGCTTTTGCTTTGCTGCTAGTATCGACGATTTAGACAAGCTAATGATAATGTACGCCATTCCAGTGTACGTGATACTGGT